GAACGCGCAGCTGGGCAGTCCAGGTTGTAGGAATCATGGAGCGGGGACCTTGGCGGGTTCGTGGCAGGCGAGGGTGACTGAGGCAGGGGACAAGCCTGCCAGGCAGACAGAGCTTGAGTGAGGAGTTTTATTAGAAAGGGAAAAGGGGGAGGAGAAAAGAGGTAAGGAGACACAGAGACACAGAGAGGAAGGAAGAGAAGAGGGACACAGGAAAGTCCTGTCTGCCCAGGGGAAGAGCAGGAACAGGAAAGACAGCGTAAGTGGGCGGGGTCTGTCTTTTAAAGGGTCCTTTGTGCCTGTGCAGACCAGGCAACCGTGGAACCCTGGGCTGACCAGGGCACTGCCTGAGTGCATTCTGCCAGGTGACAGGGGCAGGCCAGCATAATGCCTGAATCCTTACACAGGTCAGGGTGTGGTCTAGCCTGACCCATCACTATCTCAAGTTCCTCCGGTAAGGTGTTCTGAGGAGTCCTCAGAACTGTGTGAGATGTCTTCCCAAGAGACAGCTCCCCTCTGGCTGGCACCATGGTCACGTGATTCCAGGACACTCCAGTTCTTCAGTGAGGCCATTGTAGGGGGCACAGCCAATGAAGGCACAGAATGTCTTCACAGCTGCCCAGACACTTGCATTAGTCCAGGCTACCCTCTGCCCAGGCTCTCTCTGCTGACGGGTTTCTCTGCCTCTTCGCAGTTCCACCATGACTAGAATCATGCACACCGCCTTTCCTCACATAAAAGGGAACATACACTCCAGAGACATTTTCCACATCCTCTCTGTTCTCAGGACAATAGCACCCCAGACCATTTGTCCCCCTCATCAAGGGAAGAAACTGAGATCCCCAGGTGAGGGGGCAGAGAGCCCAAGGGGTGAAGACATCCCCACATGCCCACCGGTGTTTATACCTCAGTCTGTGTGGCACCAGGAGGGGGTATGGCTGTCCCATCTGTCCCTGGCATCTGGTTGTCTTGAAGGTGGGCTCATGGGGCACTGCCTCGGTGCCTTCCCTGGACATGGTGCCCTGAGAAGGAGGGGCCAGATAGAACTTTCCAGAATCATTGACAGGAAGGTTCCAGGAAAGTCGGTGCCCTTGAGTGTTAGCTTGGAGATAATGTCCATCACACAGTCACTGGCGCGGGGTTCCCAGGACTCAGAAGATGAAATGAAGGCTGCCACTTGGATAGATCTCAAAGGTCCCCCACTTCAGTGACCCTATACACCACCGTCTCTACCCCGGAACGACGCTCCTCACCCTCACTGAGGAGGGGGTGGTTGTCACCCCTCATTTATCCGCCTTCTTCTAAGGAGCCAGCATGGTTACTCAATAAACATTTACCGAGTAGTTCTGCTGGAACTGGGATGGGCACGAGGGAGCACAGGTGAATTCACAAGTTTTCATTTCAGCCCCGGAGTAGCTGAGCGTCTGGGGCCCAGGATGAAGGAATGTTCGGATCCAAGAAGAAATGTCATTAGGGTCTCAGGATGAGTTCCAAAGCAGCTGAGGCCTATTCTGCATCCCCTATGCCTGCTTGTGCCTCCTGGTGACTGTCTGAGGGCTCGAGGCTTCTCCTGAATAACTTTATTAACTTCATAGTGAGTGTTTGGTTTGCAGTCGGGAGACCTGAAATGTTACTCATTGCAGAGCAAGGACGCAGAGTTCCAGGCAGTTGGTGTAAATGCATTCTCAGTTACTGATTGACAGGCCTTTCCGGGGGAACAAGGGCAGAGAGAAGTCACCATGCTCCTTCCTAGTTTCTTCTTCTGCTTCTCCAGGTGTCTCTGTGCCTGCCTTCCTCACTTGCCAAGCTGGAGTGTGCACGTGGCTGTGTGCTTCTAGCTGTGCACTTAGAACAGCCAACGACCCTGGGTTCGGAAGAGAATTCGCTTCAACTCCAACGTCTCCTTCAAAGTCGACACCCCTTGACTTTTAGACTGGAACTTAGAATTTTTGTCTCCTGTTTTGTTTTGACAGACAGGGACCTTTCTGGGGTCACACAGTAGGCTCAGGGTCAAGGCCGCCAGGAGAGTCACCTTCAGTTTCCAGAGTGCGGTCTGAGACCTGCAGGGCTTCCGCGGCCCTGAGCCACCAGCTGCTGCCTTGGCTGGGAACTCCCCACCCTCTTCCATCACCCCCCCACCTGGCTCTCCCAGGCATTCCCCCAGTGACACCAAGGCTCTTCCAGGAAGCAGCAGCACGAAGTTCTCCAAACAGGGAACCAAGTTTAGAGATGCAAAGACATCAGTGCCACGATGGAATCGCAGGAGGTCACACTGCGCAGCCCAACAGGCTTGCAGAAACAAACTTGCCACGTGGGGCCTGAAGAGTGGCCCTGGCCCCTGGGGCTCCCAGATGTGAGGCCCATGACAGCTGGGGACCCCCACCATAACCTGTGCCCTGTTGCCATCTCCCCTGTCCCACCAGAGTCTAACCCTGGGCACTAAGGTTCCGAATTCTAAGCAGGATTTTTTTTCCAGTCCCTTGGCTATTCAGTCGCAACGACACAAAGCATTCCCAGCCCAGGGTTCCTTGTGCACCCTGAAACTGGGAGAGGACCCGAGTCCCCAGAATCTAAGGCGAGGACAGCTCTCGCTTGCAGACCATGTCTCCTACCACACCTGACTGTGGCTGCTACGTCCCCGCCCAAGCTGATCCATCTTCCAGATTGGAACAGCAGGACCGGGCACCATGGCATTCACCAAGTGGGGCATCTGTCAAGCCAATGACGAACAGTCTCATGGTAAAGGTTGGGTTACCACCACCCAACTGCAGTTCGGAGCTTGACCACCTGGGGTGCACCTCGGCAGGGAGGGGATTTATCTTCCCAGCAGAGGTACTCCATCCTTGAGCAAGGTAGTGGGGGAAAGGGGACTCAGTCCTCCCTTTTGCCGTAGGGCCCATTTGTCCAAGGAGCCCCTCATTTTGCCATGGGTAGGGTCAGCAGAGCTACTCAAAGCAAATCTTTTGGGTCTCCCTTTTCCTTAGGGAACCGGGAGAACCCAGAACTGCTGGGGTGAGGTGGGGGTGATCCCGTAATCTGCCAAGCTTTTTAGAAAAACTGGAGGCCTGTACAAGGAGTCCTCACACTCCAAATGAACCAGCCCTAGTCCCGGCTTCTGATAGGGAAGCCAAATCCAGGCAGGACAGGGCCCCACCCAAACCAACCTCCCAAAATGGTCTCATTGCCCTAACTCTGGGTGTCCCATACTTGTGTGTTAGTGAGTTTGGAAGGGGGCATCTGGACATGGGGATAGGATCATGATGACAACTCAAGCTGTGCGGGTCTGAGGCTTCGTGGAAAGGAGTCCGGAGCTTTCCTAGCAATCAATTGCAGGCCAGCGCGCGATTCAGGAATTGCAATTTTAGGTGACTCTGAGTAGGTCGTGTGCGCCCCCAGGTGGTAGGAGGAGGAATTTCACTCTACGGCTGCTGGGTCTCCAAGCTATGTATCGGTGAGGCAAGGGTCTCTTTGAAGACTTGGTTTGTATTCTGTAATCTAGCACAGCTCTGCGGAGTGGAAAACCTCAGAGTGAAGGGCAAGTTCAGTAACTCTCAGTGTGCGAACTTCCCGGAGAGTGACGGGGGTTGTCTTGGCCCAGGGGCAGGTCACAGACTCAGAATGTCCCTGGAGCAGTGGTCCTCAGCCTGGGTTGGCTCACTGAGCCTCAGCCTGGGTGATGGTCAGAGGGCATGGGCGCAGGAGGACAGGCTCACCAGCTAATCGCATGCTTGTGCCCATCTGTCCCTGCCCAAGGATGACATACGGTTAGGCCCAAGTTGGGCAAAGTTCCCAAGGTCCACCTCCAATGTGTCAGTCGGGCAACTTAGAGAACCGAGCAGGAGACATGGTGCAGGCTGAGGGAGGAGAAGTGACTCATCCAAGACCATTAAGTGATGGGCCAATGAACAGAATATTCTAGAAATGTGACTCCTATTTAGGCTTCTCACTTCTCTCCTTGGAAACCTTGACCCTGCATCCAGTAACCTTGAAGAGGTTGGCTCCTCCCCCACCCTAACCCTGGCCCCATCTATTCCAGCTCTGCTTATCCATCCCACCCTCTAGAGGGAGCTCAGGCATAGCAGAACCAAGTTCTACTTAAGGGTGTGAGGTCACATCTCGTCAGTGGTGTGATCCTGAGTCTGGTAACCAAACTTTACCTAGTTGGCTACTGGCCTCAGCTGGCACCCACCTTCCTTCCCAGGCTTTCCTATCGCTTAACTTTCATGGCAAAAGGCAAGCAGGGCATTACCTAGACAAGTGACTGCTTTTCTTGGGGGGGGGAATGCTCACTGTCCCCTTCCATACAATGGAAATGGTCTCAAAGTACTGTGTGCAGTTTCCTGTGGGTGGGTGGGCTTCAGAGCCTAAGGGCAGTGGGTTAGGACAGAAGGCTTAAGTATCAAGTGTATTGGCCTGTCCACCATGACTGTACAGTCTGTTCCTTTCAAACGCCATCACCCAGGGTTCTGCTCAGACACTCTGAGATGCAGATAAGAAAGCCAGATGGTGTCCACATCCTGCCAGCCCTGAAGTCTCCTTGGAGATCTCATGGGAATGGTGGGAGAGGGAGTTGGACCCCTTTGTAGGTCTCTGCCACAGATGAACAAGGCTGAAGGAAGCAGGTAACAGTGAACTCACTCTTACTGTTCACTCCTGGCCCAGGGATAAAGCAAGTCAACTCCCAATTATCTGGGTAGGAGTGGGTCCAGCTGGAGTCCCCTGGGCCCCACCCACCCAAGGAGGGTGATTGACGGATTGCTGGGAGCATGAACTGAAGCCCAGCACTGGACCTTTCAGACAGCGTTCCTTGGGAAACTCATGAAGCAAGTTCCCCATGGGAGTGCCCAGGCTTCAACAGGATCCAGCAGGACCCAGCAGACCCAATCACTTTCACCGTGACACCTTCAGACTTCTGCAGGGCACCTGAAGTCAGGCAGAGGTCTCTGTCCCCAACTGTTCAGGGGTGAGTGGTGAAGGGCCCATAGACGACCACACCAAGCCTGTTTTCATCGGCAGGTACTTGCTAGAGTGATTCATTGAAAACCAGTGAGGCTGCACATGTACCCCAAGTTGGAACAGGAGGTGGGATGTTAGAAGGGTTGGGGAGGAGAGGAAGGCAGTTAAGGATCAGGAGGCATGAGTGGGTGACCATGAGGGGCTCATAGTGAGCCCGGCACGTCCTTCATGAGTGCAGACCGTGATGGGACAGTGGAGTACATCTCGGGAAGATGGGTGTCCTCGGGAAGATGGGTGTCCTTGGTGCACATCTCGGGAAGATGGGTGTCCTCGGGAAGATGGGTGTCCTTGGTGCCTGTGCACTAGCTGCTCTGGAAAGACAAAGGCACAGTTTGTGCTGGGAGGGAGGCCTCTGGGTCTGGCAGTTTTGTCCCTGTCCCTCTTATTATTCCCAGGGTTCCCTCTGCAGTGTCCCTACTCCTCTCGTCCCACTTCCGACACTCAGTCCTCGATTTAAAACATGAATGGGGACAGCCCACGTGGCCGTCCAAGTTTCCCTCTGCTTGTTGTCTCTTGTTCACATGTGTTCTCTACCCAAACTCCGATGGCCCTTGAAGGAAACGTACCTATTGTCACAGCTCGTCTTCATTGACCTGCCTGGGATGGGGAAGAATGAAGATAGGATGAAGGCAGAGAAAGGGGAGTCCTGGGGTCCCCTGACTGTGGGTCCCCTGACTGTGGATCCCCTGACTGTGGATCCCCTCCTCCTCATTAGGGAAGGCTCCCTGCCCCCTCTTGCCCCACCCACCCTTCAGTTCCCCAGCAGCACTCACCTGTGCCTCTTACTGCCCCCACAGCGGAATCGTTTGCCTGGAAAAGAGATGGGGAAGTTTGTTGCCGTTTTCCGAGGAGACCCTGGAAGGCCCAGTTCTGCTAGGCTTGCTCCCCACAACTCCAGCATCATCAATGTGGGGCTTGGAGTCCATGTTTAACTGTTTCTCTGTTCATACAGGACTGGAGTCAATCAGCAACCATTCCGTTCACAAGATCTGAGAGGGACTATGAACATGTTCAAAGTGGCAGCTGGGACTAGAGTTCAAGACGCCACCAGCACAGTGTTGGGGTCAACAGGGTAGCTGCTCAATGCACTCTTGGAGGAGGGCAGGCCAAATCCAAAGTTCAAATCCCTGCCTTGCTCATAACGTCCAATCCCCCGCTTTCAGGTGAAGCCCGTTTGCTTCCCCCAGGGTCTCCCTGATTGCGATTCTGGTGGCAGCAAACATTGATTAAGCACTTGCTGTTGTGCCTGCCAAGGATGGAAAATATATAAGGACATTTTCTCCCCCAGATCCCTCCATAGTTACCCCAGACCCTTCCTAATGTACCTGGTTAACTCTTATAGCTGGATACTAGCTTCAATCTTACAAGACTGATGGGATTGTCCCCATTTAACAGTGAGAAAAATGAAGCCTCCCCTACACCCAGGGTTAGGACAAGCCAGTGGTAGGCCCCAGGGCCTGGATCCCAGCCCTGCTGGTTTTCATCAATATGGGGAAGGGTGGGTGTCAGATACACCTGGGGAGGGGAGCTGCCACAAGTCCCTCCGATGAGTCTCATTGTCCATCTCGGACGCTGACAGTGGGGTCAGGGGTGTTGTCCCTCAGTGTGCTGAGACTACCTAATGGCTAGGGTGTGGCCACCTCAGAAGGTGTCCAGATGGGGTTAGGATAGGCGGTGCCTACCCCCTTTGGCCTCCTCTACCCACAGTTGCCCAGCCAGATGCCCCTCTCAGTTTCCCCTCCCAAGGCCACTAGGGGGCACCCTGAAGGAAGCAGGAGCCTGCTGTCCCCTGCACACCCTTCCTAAATTCCTCCTCTGGCTGGAGTGTGACTTGGGAACTGGCAAGTGTCCTCACTGAGTGACTTTGGGAAATGTCCCACCAGTCTCCACTTACTGAGGAGTATGAGGAGCCCCACGACGAAGGCCAGGCCCGCGAAGATCAGGCCCCCTTTGCGGACGGTCTCATAATCTTGGAAGAGAGGAGACATGCGCTGTGGTGTAAGCGAGGCCCCTCACAGACCTCCCAAATCTACCCACCAGCAGCCCCATGCCCTGGAGAGCAGATAGCAGGGAACCAGGCTGGGAGCCCGCAGATGGGGTAGGCGGGGGAGGACTGTCTTACCATAGTGGAAGGGATCCTCTGCCCCCTTGGCACTGCCACCTGAAGAGAGAGCCAGGGGTAGGATGAGCAAGACAGTGGGAACTCCGGACTTCTCAGGATCCCCAAGGGCACAGATAGACAAGGGGAAGCTGGGTAAGAGTGGCCTTGATATCACATGGACATCCTGGGATCAGACACAGGGCCCTGAAGTGGAGATCTGTGCTGGCTGCGGGGGACCCTGACAGTCCCAGGAGGGTGTGGTCCTCCCCAACTCCCTGCTCTGTGTCACAGGGACAGGCCAAAGAGCCGGATTCCCAGGAGGCCCCTGAGTGACCTCTATTGATAATTCTGCTCTCTCAAGGAGGAACAATATCTGTGAACTAAATGAATGGGTGAAGCAGAGCCTCTGTGTTCAGAAAACAGGAAGAAGAAACCATGACCCCCCCATGTCTTTTAAAGACACTGGAAATTGAAGGCTGAATCAGGACTTGACTCATCCTAGATTCTACTCTCCTATTGTTAGGATACTCAGGGCAAACTTAGCAAGAGTGAGGAATATGCACTCGGTGTCTGCATTCCTGGTCCAAATGAACGGAACACCAGTTCAGACCACATGTGGGGCACTGCCGCTATTCCCCTCTGACCCACAAGACGCTGAAGCACAGAGAGTTACGGTAAGCGAGCCACATAACAAGTAAGGGGCAGAGCTGGGATTTGAACCCAGGCAAAGGGTCACGGTGAGTCTAAGTGCTGGGGTCCCTCTCAAGTGTCTCAGGTAGGAAGACATGTCCACAAGCTGTATGGCCCTGGCCTTGCCTTCTGTGTCCCCCTTTGTCCTGGTGGAAGCATATACTCTGCTTTCCAGCCGCCTGAGCTCAGAGCATTTACCCTTGGTGGTGCTCCGGCCAGCAAAGCTGCGGCCACCCCTCCCCACCCCCCTCCATGTCAGCTCCGCTCTTTGCTGCCCTCCTGGAGACCCTCTTGGCACTAGGGGACTGAGGCCCTTTCTAAACGAATGAACAAGTTAGCAATTCCCAGGCAACTCTGAACTGTGACCCTGACATGGTCAACCACAGGGCCTGGTGGGTCCAGCCGCTTCCAGTGGCCAGAGATGGTCAGTGCCTCACAGACCTCAGGTATGGGTTGGTCAGGAAGGCCAGACTTTAGGGAGAAGCCACAGGGACCCAGGCTCTGCCTCCATGCAGAAAGTGTCCCCAGTTTCAAGGTCACAGGGGGGAGCTAGTGTCAGACCCTCGGGCAGACCCTTTCATAACCATCTGATGAGTCCCTCCCCCACCAGAGCTCAGGGCTAGAACCCTCAAGATCTGCAGGTCAGCAGGGACCCTACTGGGCTCCAGACCTGAGTCTACGGATCCCAAAACTCAGGACTTTTCTTGTGCCCCTAAGCCAGCCGGGGAAGCCTGGTCAGAAGGGCTGCTTTTCCCACTCCCAACCCTGGAAGCCCCTGCCCACTTTGAGATCTTAGTTCTCCCTCCATCCAATACAAGAAAGTCACACAGGGCAGGGTGCAGGAAGCTGAGGCAGGAGGATCGCAGGGAATTTTAGGTTATTCTGGATTATACAGAGAGTTCCAGGCCAACCTGGGCTACAGAACAAGATTCTGTCTCAAAAACAAAGTCACATACGAGCACACACACACACACACACACACACACACACTTCTGATGCTCTGACTTCTGCTATTCTGTTGGGGTTTTTTCCCCGTGGGGGTGGAGGAATCAGGTCCTTTCCCATTGCTAATTTTCTTAGAGAGCCACTGACTGGAAACCTGGAGTCAAGGGAACAGGAGAGGGAAAGGGGGTTCATTTGCCCACCGGAGGCAGTCCCAGAGGGAAAGGGGGTCCAGCGGCCCACCGAGGGCAGCCCTGCCAGTCTCTCCAGGCGCGGCACTCACCATCATCAGCCGACAGCCCTGTCATTTCCCCAGCCACCACAGCTTCTCCACAGTCTTCCTGCAGCCTCTACTTCGGGGACAGTGTCTGCCGTGGGGGTGGCGGGACAGAGGTGGGGGGCATTAAATATTAACAGTGTCAGGTAATATTTACCCCGGTCACAAGAAAAGCTGAGTGTACTCAGAGGGGGCCCTGCTGAGCCAGGCAAGAAGGCGGCGTTAGGGGTAGCCAGAGGCAGGGAAGGGCTGCCTGCAGTCTCCAGCCCCTCCCAAAGGAAATTTCCAGAGAGCAGGGCCCGGATGGGCAGCAACTGTATTCTTCCATCAGCAGGGGAAGACGCAGCTGGGCTGAGGAAGTGGAAGTTTCAAGATGCACTCACTGTGGGTGGCACACAGGGGTGGGGGTGGGGAACTCTGTCAGGTCAGGGACCTTCCTGCCAGTCCCTGTGGACAGCACCATGGTGGCTAACATTCTCATGGGGCACTCATGTTTCCCTGAGGGGTTTAAGGAGCCTGGCCTGCCTCCCCTCTCACCAGAGTCCTCTCCACCTTGGGTCCACGCAGGATGGGCCTCCGTGGCACTGCTGTCCCGGATCACCAGTCCTGACTTCTTTATCCCGATCCTAAAGCCACGTTTAGCCGCTCAGACCTCAGTCTGAAGTGCTCTGTCATCCCTGAATAATGTCTAACTCTAATGCCCGGCTGTGGCGTCCACCACACACTTAAGACACTTTCAGGAAGGGGCCCAGCATTCTTCTTATGACTTATGAAGCATTTTCTAGCTGGCTTCTCTCTTTTGGGTCATCTCCCTACTTGACATGAGCTATCTGAAGCACAAATAAGTTAGAGGCCTTACCGAAGGTCGGATAGCCAGTGAGAGTTGAGGGGATTGATGGCTACTCATTCAGATTCAGGGTTCAAATGCTTACCAGGCTGCCCCCATTTCACTGTGACTGTTCCCTTGGGAACTATGGTGTGGGTTTTCCATGAGTACTACAAAGTCTTCTACGGGTTCTAGACAGGAGAAATGGCCTCCAACAGGAGAATGCCCATCACTAGCAGATGGTATATAGATAGCTACACAGATGGTAGACACAGACATAGCCCATACATACATACATACATACATACACACATACATACATACACATGCGTGCACGCAGGCTACATAGGTGATAGATGGATGATAGATGATTGATGGAGAGATGATAGCCAGGTGGATAAAATATGGATGGATGGATGGATATGGATAGATAGATAGATAGCGATAGGCAGACAGACAGACAGACGATACTATTCAATACTTCTGGAGGGAAGGGCTCCCCACCTGTGAGTTCCCTTCAGTCAATGCCAAGGCACCGAAAGCTGTGTTCCCACCCTGACTCCACCCCTTGCTGGTCTTTTGACCTTTGCCAATTTGTTTACCCCCCCATCTGCCTCTTTGTTTATGCAGCGGGCAGGGCACAGGACTCAGGGAAGTTTGTGGGCACTGAGACAGGCATATCAGAATACAGCTTCTTTAATGGTACCATCGGAAAGCCAACCACTCTCTGCTAAGTAGGTGAGAGGACAGAGACGGTGCCCTGACTGTGCAGCTTTGAGGCACTCATGCAGCTCTCTTAAGCTTTCAGAGTCCAGTGATATGCATTCATAAAGAGACAGCAGCCCTGCCCTGTGAGAGGCTGGACTCACGTGCTAGGCTCTCAGCACTCACAGGCCCCATTTAAATCTCTGGTAGTTCCATTTGACAGAGAAAGAAACTAAGGCTGAACATTGGCTTCCCCCTAGATCAGATTAGCGCCGTAGCCCTCCAGAGACCAGAAAAACACTGAGATCAGGGAAAGCTGAAGTCTGGGACACAGAAAGGAGAGAGCCAGGATGGGAATACCCAGGTCAAAGATGGCTGTGAATCTGGGGCTGCTCTTCAGACAATTTGGCAGCACCTCATCCCTCGTTTCGCTTTGGTAACTATCTTTGTAAACCCCTATGAGTTCTCTCTATCGTAAGAGATTAATGATAGGTAGCAAGTAAGAAAGACACATGACAGACAGAAAGGATGGATGGATGGATGGATGGATGGATGGATGGATGGATGGATGGATGGATGGATGGATGGATGGGTGGGTGGGTGGGTGGGTGGGTGGGTGGGTGGGTGGGTGGATGGATGGGTGGGTGGATGGACTGATGGGCAGGCAGGCAGGGAGTAGATAGGTAGGGAAAGCAGGCTGACAACTACTTTTCTGTTCCAGGCACTGGGAAAGTAACCCTTCTGTTGCCACATGATTCAGTAGGGAAGCCCAGGACTAGCATCATCCCGTTTTACAGCCAGGGAGCAGGCAGCTGGAAAGTATGGGGACTAAGATGTGACTCAGTGGTCTGAAGTCCGATGGATGGACACACAGCTGGATGAGGAGACTGATGAAGAACCCATTTCCCCAGCCTCCCGCTCGGAGGTGTCCTGTACACCACAGCAGGCCCAGGACTAGTATTGAGGTGTCCTTATTTAGGACAGCCTGTCTTCCTTTTCTGTAAGGAGCCAGTAGGTGTGTTTGAAAGTGATTGGTGATCCCCCGAATCCAAGTTGGAGAGGGCAGGGGTGGGGACAGGCTTGGGGGACTCACCCAGGTACCACCTGTCCATGGCAGGAGCTGCTGGAGATGTCTCAGGTACACAGGAGCCAGGGAATGCCTGCCCTTGCCTGGGGCCTGCATGGGAGGAGTGACACTCCCTCCCTTCATGCTAGATGGGCTGAGCTGGGACAGGAAGAACGATGCAGGAGGAGGGGCTGGTAGGGGGACTGTTACCTGCACCTGCCTGCCTGGGCTGGTTGGAGCATGGGACCCACATGAGGCTAGGGGAAAGTCTCCAGCCTCCGCTGATCTGAGTGTCCCAAAGGAAGGGGACAGTCAGAGCAGCCAAGGAAACTGCAGCATCCTCTCCTTCCTCTACAGGGACTTGCTGCTACAGTAAGTGGTCCCCATTGTGTTCTAGGGTCCCCAGAAGGGCAACTGGCAAGGACACAAGCTGGCAGGACCAGAGCATCGTCCATCTGCACCCTCCCCTCCCCCACCACCACCCCGCCTCTTTGGGTTTCAGGCCAGCAGCTGAAGGAGACGCTCAGAGGCAGGTGTGGGTCCTCAGCCTTCGCTCAGGACATTTTCATCCTCCCATCCAGTGGGCCCCACCCTGATGTCTCTTGCCCCTGGGCCCCTTCTGAAACCCCGAGCCCCCTGAGACCAGGCAGGAAGCCGTTCCAGGTGCAGTGGGGACTTTGTGCAGGAAGCTGCTCTGGAGATGGGCAGTGGCTGAAGCCACAGCTGGTTTGAGGCGCTCCCATGGTGGCCTGTCCTCCTGTCCCGCCTACACCTCTTCACTCAGCCCTGGGGACATGTTCCAGTTGTGATGTCACGCCTGCCTGGGTGCACCTATGGGGTCTCAGCAAGAGTTCCAGCAGATAATGGAGTCCTCTGAGGAGGGCAGGAGAGCAACGGAAAGACAGAGTGTCTTCTAGTCCCCAGGACTGGGATGGTGCCAGGACCCAGCAAAGGAATGACAGGACAGCTACTCAGTGGCCCCCAGCATCTGTGACAGGCCCAGAGCAAGGCCACTGCAAGAAGTCTTCATTGGCTGAGTAACAGTGGACCACAGGGTCTCCTGGAGGCTCAAAGAACATCCGGATTGGCCGTTCTACAGGGATCCCTGTAGAGTACCAACGATGCTGGGTCTGGTCACCTTGGTGACCAGCCTCTCTGTCCCTCACAGCAGCATCCTGAGAGGTGGGGAAATGACACCCTCGGGGAAATGGAAGCGCTCTGAAATGTTGGCCTGACCTCCAAGCCGGGTTCTTTGGGTAGGCTGAAGTCTATCTTAGGGCTCTGAGCTGGCAGCGTGCCCACTCCCCACCCCCAGCCACTTGTGAGATGAAGGGCAACTCCACCCAGTGACCCTGTCATATGTTTCCCAGTGGAAATCTTAACCTTCAGGTATCCTGGAGCTGTGAGTGGAAATTCCCCAAGCCAGGCACTGGGGAAGTTCAGGCAGCACCAGTGGTCTCTGTAGCCCTCAGCAGGATGCCCACTCCCTCACCCCCGCAAGCAAGCCCACTGTGAGTTCCCCCGACCTCAGGGCTGTGAAAAAGACACCCACTTTCCTAGTAGGCACCCTGTGCTCCTACGCAGTCCTTCTCTTGTAAAACCACCACGTTCCTGCCCAAGAACCTCTGAATGTGATTCCAAGCCTGGGTCTTTTTTGTATCCCTTCATTCTGTAAATTTTCTTGCTATGTTTGTGTATTGATTGATTGATGGTTGTGTATGAGATCTTGCCTGTCCTGTATACATGTCTGGAGATCAGAAGACAATCTGTGGGACCCAGAGATTGAGCTCAGGTTTCAGGCTTCGTGGCAAGTGCCTTTACTCACCCTCTTGCTGGGTCCCTTTTGGTTTTCCCTCTTAATCTCACCCTAGTGGCCTCTCTGACTCTGTCCCCAAGTTTTCTGTTCATCTGTCCATTCCCTTAATGGCTCTGTGACTTTCCAAGACTCACTTCTGCCTCAGGACCTTTGCAAGGACAATTCCTGTGTACTTACCCTCTATGTGTTCCCTCTATCCTCAGGTTTTTCTCATGTGAGTCGCTCAGAGACTGTCCTACACACCCTTTCTAAACTGTCACACTCTGCTAGCCCAGAGAGGTGGCGCAGTGACTCAGAGAGCCCCCAAGCTTGCCTAAGGTCACCTCCTTTCCACTCTGCCACCTGAATGCAGCAGGTAACTGTCCTAGTTTGCTCTAGAGAGACGGTTAGTAGCTCTTAGAACCCTGCTCTTAGACTCCTGTAACACCCCATCTACACACACACACACCCCACATCCAGACCCCACACTCACACCCACCTATACCCCCCACGCCCACACTCGAACCCACCCACACCCCCACACCCCACAGCTACAGGCACTGACACACCTGCTCCCTGTCCTGGAAGCCCAGGTAAAAGTTAAGAGTTGCTGAGGTCTGCTGAGTTCACCTTACTCATGCCATCTCCCAGTCAGCCAAGACTATCATCAGGGTTTAGTCAATGCTGGGGACAAGGAGCCCTCTGTGAGACATTTTAATCCCCTGCAAAGGGACCCTGTTTCCTGCTGCTCTGAGAGCAGCAGAAGGGATGTCTCCACCATGCCTGAGCGCAGAGCCCCTTAAAGCCAGACCACCCCCCTGTAAATCCTCCTATGTACTGACCTTACCCTTCTGACCCAGTGAGTCACAGTGATGACCCCCCATACCCTGACATCTGAAATGCATGGTGACACCTACCTCAGAGGCTTGATGAGGG